CTGAAACTTGTTTCTCCCCCAACAATTTGTCTTTTTTATGTGTTTGTAGAGGTGGGGGTCTCACTGTGTTGCACAGGCTGGTCTGGAACTCCTGGGCTCAAGTGATCCTCCTGCCTTAGCCTCCCAGAGTGGTGGGATTACAGGTGTGGCCAGTCAACAGTTTATCTTAAAGATCTTTTTAAATTAGTATCCAGATCGAATTCATTCCTTCTAACTGCTGTATCACAGTCCACTGTATGAATGTGTGAGAGTTTATTTCCTTACCTGCTTATGGATAGACATATAGGTTGTTTCCCAATTAGAACAGTATTTTTTTTTTTTACAAAAAGTCATATTGAGCTATATAATTCCCATACCATACATTTATCTTTTTTAAGTGTACAATTTAGCGGTTTTTAGTAACTCACAAAGTTGTACACCAACCCCACTATCTAATTACGAACATTTTCATCACCCCCTAAAAAAACCCAGTACCCGGCCAGGCACAATGGCTCACGTCTGTAATCCCAGTACTTTGGGAGGCTGAGATGTGCCGATCACGAAGTCAGGAGATCGAGACCATCCTGGCTAACACGGTGAAACCCTGTCTCTACTGAAAATACAAAAAATTAGCCGGGCGTGGTGGCGGGCGCCTGTAGTCCCAGCTACTCGGGGGGCTGAGGCAGGAGAATGGCGTGAACCTGGGAGGTGGAGCTTGCAGTGAGCCGAGATCGCGCCACTGCACTCCAGCCTGGGCAACAGAGGGAGACTGTCTCAAAAAAAAAAAAAAAAGAAACCCAGTACCCATTAGCAGTCATCTCTTTTCCCCTTCTCCTCAGTCTCTGCGAACACTCATCTACATTCTCTCTCGGTGCATTTGCCTACTTTTAACATTTTGTTTTAACAGAATTATATGACAAAATGTGATCTTTTGTGTTTGGCTTCTTTCCCTTAGCGTATCAGTTTCAAGGTTCATCCGTGTTGCAGCATGTATCCGTACTTTGTTCTTTTTTCTTTGGCCAAATAACGTTCCATTGAATGGATATACCACATTTTCCATATCTGTTCTTTAGCAGGCGGACATTTGAGTTATTTCCTCCTTTTGGCCATTATGAATAATGCTGCTGTGAACATCTGTGTGCAAGTTTTTGTGTGAGGACATGTTTCCAATTCTCTTCTGTGTATACTAGGAGTGGGACTACCGGGTCATTAGGCAACTCTTTGTTTAACTTTTGAGGATCTACCAAACTGTTTTTCGAAGTGGCTGTGCCCTTCTACATTGCGATAGATGTGAGTTTTTAGAACAAGAACAAGGAAGAATATGTTCATGGACCAAATGGATGTGTTTATTCTTGAGACATCTCAGCCATATTTGGAGCAAGCTGAAAAACAACTCAGCACTGTTCAGCAGAACTTTCTGTGATGATGAAAACGTTTTAAATCTGTGCTGTCCAATATGGTAGCCACTAGCCACGTGTAGCTGTTTAACACTTGCAAGGCGACTCCTGTGGCCGAAGAACTGCATTTTTAATTTTAATTAATCTAAATATGATTGTACTCATGTGTCCAGTGGCTACGGTATCGGATAGCTCAGTACTTATTCTCTCCTGTATGTAAAGACCAACAGAACCCAAAAGGTCACCATAAAGATACCGGAGAAGTGATCCACCTTCTAGTATGCACCTTGCAACTCCAAGTTAGCTCTTGTCACAGACATCACGGAGAAGAAATTCAGAGAAGAAATTAAACCAGAATTGAGAAGGAATTAAACCAGAATTGTACCACACTGAAATTCAGGTAACTCCCAACTTTTGCAGAATTATGCTTGGAAAGTTGGCATTTCATGTATCTCCTTTTAGCTTACCAGTTTAAAGAACTATCTTTATATTATTTTGCTTCTTTGTACAAGAGCAATTCATGCTCACTACAGAGAAGCATGAAAAGAAAATAAAAACTACCACAGATAATTGCTGCTAAAATCTTGGGGGTGTGTGTGTATGTTTAACTGTGTGTATATGCATGTGTGTGTGTATGTGTATGTATGTGTGTGTGTGTGTATATATACTGTTAAAGAAAACGTTATTTAATGATCCTTCTTAAAGCACAGTAAAGAAGACTTTATTTAGAACCATTGAGATAGGTATAGGAACTACTGCAATGGGCTTTGCAGTGGGGGAGACAGACTGGGCTCAGCTGTGAATACAGAATAAGCAAGTGGGAATTTATGGCCAAGGAAAAGGGTTGGGGGCAGTGGATGGAAAATTACTAAGAGAAAACATCAGGAGTAAGGGTGATTCTGGCTAATCCGAACTAACAGGGTTCTTGCTGAAGGCAGACCTGGGTAATCACATGTCAACTGGGGGGATGCTGGAGGATAAGAGGCCTGATCAGATATTAAGAGTGATTAGATATTGAGGTTGATTAGATATTTATGTGGGTGGTTCTTTCTGAACTGACTCACCATGGTTCTTCCCAAAACTGCGTTTTACAAAGAAGTGCACAGATAAGTCTAGAAGAAGATTCAGGAGCTGGACTAAAGTTTGATCAAGCAAAGTCTTTGTCAGTACACACAGAATTCAACTATATTTCGGCTTTGGTAGAAGAGCGGAAGTGACATTGGAATCAATCTTGTTCCTTCCTCACAGTTCCTCTTTACAGTTCTGATCAGATTTCATTCACTTACTGAGTTCTCCCTATGCCAGGCCCATGCTGGGTGAGACCCAGTCTCCTGGGAGAGATGGACATCAAAAAGCCCAGTGTGACAAGGCTCTGATGGGCATAGAGTGAGGACAGAGAAAGCACAGGAGAGAGAGTAGCCACTGCCTGAGGAATCGTGGAAGACAGCAAAGGAGATGTTACATTTGAGCTGGAGGAATTCACTGTGCAGAGGAGAGAAGGAAGGGTGTTACAGGCAGAGGGAATTGCACTGGCAAAGGCTTGGGGCATGACAGAGCCACGTGTGTTCTGGGAAGGGAGACTGCTCCTGTGTGGCTGGAGGAGCAGTAGCAGGGGCCACGTGTGATTGCCTGCCTTACTGTCTTTTAATTCTCTTATCACCCCAGTGAGGTAAGTAAAATGTCATTCCTGTCTTACAGGCAGAAAAAATGGGAGCTGAGAGAAGTTAAGTAACTTGCCTGAGGTTGCACAGCTAGTAAGGGACAGGGCCGAGATTCTGATCTGTTTGAGCACAAAACCCTATCTTGGGAGATGGGGTAGGTTAGATTCCATTTGTGAAGAGTCTTTTCTGTCACACTCAGGAGTTCAAAAGTCACCCTGGGGTAATTCAGCAGGGTACCAGCTTGAGCGGATCTGTGCTCTAGGAAGATCTTTGTGGCAGCAAAGCAAAGACAGTTTGTAAGCAGGTCAGCAATTCACCTTGGGCTGAACTATCCTCAGTGCATTGCACGCGCTCGCGCGCGCACACACACACACACACACACACTCTCTCTCTCTCTCTTTCTGTCTCTCTCTCTCTCTCTCTCTGTCCTTCAAAGAAAGGAGCCTCTGAGAATCCAGCACTCTTTGTTTCCCTCTTCCTTCTCAAATGAAAACCAGCAGCTCTTGAGTTCTATGTTTATTCCAGATCACAGTGGAAGAAGATTAGAGGGGCTGGGGACACTGCCCCTTGCTGAGGGACCTTGGATTAATCGCTTCTCACATGACTTCAGTTTTCTTATCTGTAAAATGAAATTCTTGGCGTTTCCACCTTTACATGTCCTTTCCGTCTTTACAATTGTCTGATTCCTAAGAGTGGTGGGACCTATTAAGGGATTTCGCTCTGGCCGCATACTATGATTTTTGGGGAGCTAAGCTAGTTCTGGACTGGCTGCCCCCAAATTTAGATAGAGTCTCTTAGCATTTCCTGCATAAGGCCAGAGACTGGATTTTCTAGGTATTGCTGAGGACTTAAGGTCTTCTTTGGTTTTCAGGCTAGGCCAACGGCCGCAAATAACCTAATTAGGACCTCGCAAGCAACTTGCCCAGTGAAAGCTAATTTAATTAGGGTCTTATTAGTTGTTATAACTACTTTTTAATGAAGCTTTATTACATTCAACTACACAAATCCTAAGCAATTGTTTTAAATGCTGGCAAATGACCCATTAGTCTTTGATTTCACTTCTATTTTTGCATTGTTCACATCTATCCTGAGATTCAGATGCCTGTAGTTCATTTTTCCTCTTTGAAGCCAGGTGCAGCCTTGAAGGCATATTTTCTGTTCTAGTCTCATTACCCATTCTCTGGGATTCCCCATCCACTTACGCTAGTGATATGATATTGGAGTGATATGTGGGGTGGAGAAAGTCTGGGAAATCTCTTCCCAGTGGTCTTCCATATTCCCTAACGTTTCCATCGTTAATCACCCCATGGTTGGAAGACTTTGAGGATAAGGGCCCCTGGTTGAAATGCAGATGTCATTTTGGAGACAAATGCAGAAAACCATTATTATGAATTAACACCTGAGGATTAGCTCATCATATTAGCTAACTGGTCAATACAAGAGACTTCAACAGAATGGATTCTGGATGGAGTAGTTTTGATAGTTGCTGGTGTGTAGAGGAGGATGAAAGAAAACCAAGAATTAATTCGTTTCTACTGTGCAACAGTCACTGGGCTAGGTACGTTCGCATATATTATCTCATTTAATTCTTTTAACAACCTTGATATAAATGTATTATTATCACTGATAATAAGAGAAGAAGAGAAGAGTCAGCTTCATGTCACACAGCTAGTAAGAGGAAAAGCCTAGGAGAGCACTGAAGTGTGGGCAGCTTTGGCCTCCAGTGGGACAGTGTCATGACCCTGGGGGTTAACAACTTCAGAGGATTGCCTGAGGCCAGGCGAGCCCCAGGACCAGTGACTGAGGGTCACTAAAGACAAACTTGACAGGGCTCACAACTTGGCCTGAGCAGTGCTGATCTCTTTGTGTTCTGTTTCTTTTCATCCTCAATGGGCAGTGTGATGTCACAGTATGATGTCATCATTAAGAGACTAGGATCTGGGCTAGGCATGGTGGCTCACACCTGTAATCCCAGCACTTTGGGGGGCCGAGGCGGGAGGATCATGAGGTCAGGAGTTCGAGATCAGCTTAGCCAGCATGGTGAAACCCTGTCTCTACTAAAATACAAAAAATTAGCCGGGCACGTGGCGTACGCCTGTAGTCCCAGGTACTCAGGAGGCTGAGGCAGGAGAATTGCTTGAACCTGGCAGGCAGAGGTTGCAGTGAACCGAGATCACATCATTGCACTCCAGCCTGAGTGACATGGCGAGACTCCCAAGACTCCATCTCAAAAAAAAAAAGAGGCTAGGATCTGGCAGGAGGCCCACTGAGATTCACATCCTGGTTCCAGCCTTTTTGTGCAGGTATGATCCTGGGCCAGTTGTTTAAACTCCCTAAGCTGTGGTTTTCTCATCTGGAAAGGAGATAATAGCAACTTCTTCACAATCTTCTGGAAGTTATAGAATATGTGCCAAGCATCTGACACCAGGCAAGTGCCAGTGAGCAGGGCTTCCTCCACATCTGAGCTGGTGTTGGAGTGCTTTGTAGCTACAGTGGGAAAACAGGAAATACACACACAGGGAACGTGGAGACTGTTCTTATTAGGCTGGGGGTTCTTAACTTAAGTGTGCATCAGTAGTACCCAGAGGGCTTGGGAAAACCCAACTACTTGTGGTGCACCTCCAGTTTCTGATTCAGTTGTTCTGGGATGGGGTCTAGGATTTGTCATCTATAACAAGTTTCTGGGTGGTGTCAATGCTGCTGGGCTGAGGACCCCACTTGAAGACCCACTGGATAAGGCCACTCACAGTGTATGCTCTTTGACAACACAGTCAGCAGCTCCAGGACAGAGTGTTCCAAGTCCACCTGAGCCTGGGGTGAGTCAGAGAAGCAGAGCTCTGGCTGTTTTCCTCTTTCCCATTTTCTACCCTGCCTCTGTAGCTTCTTGAGTCCTTGAGAGCCAGTCCTTGTGAACAGGGGCCAAAAATATTCTCTTAATTTTGATTATTTACTTATTTATAGCCACGCCAGTTCCTGGGCCTGCTTAGGTTGAAGGGAATTTTTTTTTTTTTTTTTTTTTGGTGGTTTGAGTAAACTAATTTTGTGGCTAAAAGCACTGACACAATTTGTTTTTCACTGAGAGCAAAGAGAAGTTAGGCTCCAAGTAACAACTTCCAATTAATCTATCAGTCTGAAAGTTTACATTTTTAATAGGCTTATCATTTTGATTTAACAAATGGTATAGACATTGTCAGGCATGCAGAAAAAATAGTGCTTGCTGTTCATCATTCTTTTCATCAAGAAGGCGCAACTCACTGGATACCAGTGAGACAATTTATGTAAAATTGTTTAACACGATGTCTTTCAAAGGACAAATTATAATAATTTATGTTATTGTGTTTACTGAACAAATGTTTGTTGAGCCCTTATAAAGTGACAGCATGCTTGATGTCAGATTTTCTCCACTTCAACAGCGATTGACATCTTGGGCGAGGTAATTCTTTGTTGTGGGAGCTGTCCTTTGCATTGTAGGATGTTTAGCAGCACACCTGGCCTCTCCCAGTTAATGCCAGTAGCACCCCCAGTGTGACAATAAAAAATGTCTCCTGACATTGCTAAATGTCCCCTGGGGAAAAATTGCTCTTGGTTGAGAACTACTGGTTTACATGAATAATCTTATATTGCATCTTTGCAACACCCAACAAAATTAGCTGTTATTTGTTTTATTTTAGAGATGGGAGAAAAGAGGATCAGAGAGTTGAGCAATTTGCTGAAGGCCACACAGGTAGTCAAGAAGCAGGAGTGGAGTTTGAACCCAGGACTGACAATCCAGAGCCTCAGTCTCGACCACTATTCTTGTTTCTTAAGAGTACACATTTAAGAATGTATAGAAGAGGCTAGGTGCGGTGGCTCACACCTGTAATCCCAACACTTTGGGAGGCTGAGGCGAATGGATCACTTGAGATCAGGAGTTCGAGACCAGCCTGGCCAACATGGCGAAACCCTGTCTCTACTAAAAATACAAAACTTAGCTAGGTGTGGTGGTGCATGCCTGTAATCCCAGCTACTAGGGAGGCTGAGGTCTGAGAATCGCTTGAACCCAGGAGGTGAAGATTGCAGTGATCTGAGATTGTGCCATGGTTCTCCAGTCTGGGTGACAGAGCAAGACCCCATCTCAAAAGAAAAAAAAAATTGTATAGAAGAAAGTCCACCCAATCACAGACATTGTGGTAATTGCCTTTGGGAAGCAGAGAGGTTAATGAGATGAGGGGTGGGGAACCTTTTAGATATATTTGTAACATTTTTATTTCTTAAAAGAAGATGTATAGCAAATTCAGCAACATGTTAAATTTGGATGGAGGACTCATGGGTGTCCCAAATTACTTCTTGTACTTTTTGGAATGACTGAAATATCATAAATCTAAATATTGAAACAATTTGAAAAAGAGAGAAACATGACCATAAATGTTAGGCAACGTCATCTGATTTTTTTTGACCATGTGATCATCATACCTGGCACTCTAAAAAAACTTTAGTTTTTACTTTTCTGCCCTTTTTTAACAGAGGATTTTCCCAACTATTCGGTGAGGAGGAACCTGTCTCATTTTTGTTTCCTCAAAACACATAGCCCATTCATAGAATTTGTCATGATCATAATATTAACAGGTACTTAAATATCTCCTCTGAAGTGGATGCCATATTAGAGGCTTCATGTACATTAATAGTTGACGTTTATGAAATATTTACTAGTGTTTGGCACCTAGCTGAGTCCCTTTCATCCATTTCTCATCTGTTCTTCACTACAGTTCTTTGAGGTTGATGATTTTGGTCTCGTTTTACAGATGAGTTAACTGGGGCTTAGCAATCTGAGCAGCAGAGCCAGACAGATATGTCAGATTTCAAAGTTCCTGTTCTTTTTTAGTTTTATTTATTTATTTTTTTTTGAGATGGAGTCTCACTCTGTCTCCCAGACTGGAGTGCAGTGGTGCAATCTCGGCTTACTGCAACCTCCACCTCCTGGGTTCAGGTGATGGATTCTCCTGCCTCAGCCTCCTGAGTGGCTGGGATTACAGGTGCCTGCCACCACATCCGGCTAATTTTTGTATTTTTAGTAGAGACATGGTTTCACTGTGTTGGCCAGGCTGGTCTCAAACTCCTGACCTCAAGTGTTCTGCCTGCCTCGGACTCCCAAAGTGTTTGCTAGGAGTATAGGAGTGAGCCACCGCCTGGCCTTCAAGTCCCTATTCTTTCTAGTACAGCAACTGAAGCAGGAGTCATTAAGAGCTAGCAAGGGTGTCTCAGAGAAGAGAAGGTGCCATCCCTCTTCCTCAAGATGAGGGGGTGGGATGACGGTGACAGAGGCAGGTGACAGGAAGCGCTTTCCTGGTCAGATTCTGGGAATCACTTGGTGAGCCCAGGCCTCTGGCTTAGTGGCATTCCCAACACTGTGGCAAGTGGGTCAAAGTTCACCCAGCCCCTGCCTTGTCCTAGTTGCTGGTTCCAACACCTCTGGATTTAGTAGAGTTTAAAGATAACCCAGCTTCTCCCTCTAGATCAGCAGTTCAAGGGTAGGATTAAATTATGCCTCTGACTGACCAGGGTCCATTGGTTCCCTCTCAAAAGGCCTCCTTCCCTGGCAGAATCTGCTCAAGCGGCCAGCTCTTTGCTTCTTGAGTGGTGCTCAACTGAATTTTCAATTCGTGAGTCTGGCGTCTTCCAGGGCCAATCCGAATTTTGCAACTAAAATGTGGTGCATTTGCATGCCCTGATCTAAATATAGGCTGTCTACTGCATTCCCTCGATCCACACAGGCCCCCACGGTGGGGAGGGGGTGAGCTTAGATGCCTAGAGGAATCCTTCTTTATTAACTCATCCTTTGAGTGCCTCCAACTGGATTGTTTTCCCGGGGATGGCAACAGCGTTTTCTTTTATTTTGTTATGGTTTTAAATTGGGATGTCAGTCCTGGAGCCTCGAACCACTGATGTGGACCGTGGTGGGCCTGGCAGCCCACCACATGTGAAAGATCAAATCTGTTTATACGTCCTGGCTGACTGCTTTTTTTTCTTAGCTCCTGGATAAAATACACACATTCCGAGGCTGTTTTCTCCTCTGGCTCCTTTGATGGATGGGTGTTGCATCCCAAGAGGGCAGCTAGCTAGCCCTGAACTCTGGGAAACTGACACCAAATTAGCTGGAAGGATTTGAAGCTTTCAAGACATCTTATCACCTCAGGAGGAAGTCACGTAGATGCCTGAAACTTCTTGTACCTCAGGCAGTGAGAAGCTATCAGCATAAAAACTGGCTTCTTCATCAATGTTGAAACATACTTTGTGGATGTGCAAATTGCTACACCCTTTCCAGAGAGAAATTTGACAATATACATCTGAGGCCTTTCCCGGGAGTCTGCCTTTTGATTTAACCATTCAAAGTGGACTTTATCCCAACAAAATCCTAAAGGGCAAGTGCCCTAAAGATATTAAGGAAAAGAATGTGTGCATCAGAATATTTCTCACAGCTAAAAACTGAAAACAAATTGCACATCAAGAGGGAATGGATTATTTTAAACATACGAAAAAATGCTTAACCTCATTCACAAAAATTCCACCTGTCAAGTTGGCAAAGATCCAAAAGTTTGATAACAGCTCTTAGTGAATGTGCGGGCACCCTCAAATGTCAGTTACTGAAATGTAAATTGATATGATCTCTACAGAAGACAATCTGGTAGTATTTACAAACATGAAAACGTTTACTCAGAATGGTCCACTTACAAGATTTTACAGATATTTTTACTCATGTGGAAATTGGTGATGTATAAGAATATTGTTTTATAGTAACAAAAATTTAAAATAACCTACAATGTCTTTCCATGGAGATCTACCTGAAAAAAAAGAAATACTATGGAGCTGCTAAGAATGAAGCTACTTTATTTGGAAATGGAATTTCCATTGAAATTGAAAGACCTTCAAGATACATTGTTCAGTGAAAAAAGCAAAATGTAGAATAGTGTTTATGTTATTTCCATTAAAAAGATCATATAAATATATTTCTATATGCATAGAACATATCTGGAAGAATATATAAGAAACTGGGGGGCCGGGCGCGGTGGCTCAAGCCTGTAATCCCAGCACTTTGGGAGGCCGAGACGGGCGGATCACGAGTTCAGGAGATCGAGACCATCTTGGCTAACACGGTGAAACCCCGTCTACTAAAAAATACAAAAAACTAGTCAGGCGAGGTTGCGGGCGCCTGTAGTCCCAGCTACTCGGGAAGCTGAGGCAGGAGAATGGCGTAAACCCGGGAGGCGGAGCTTGCAGTGAGCTGAGATCCGGCCACTGCACTCCAGCCTGGGCGACAGAGCAAGAATCCGTCTCAAAAAAAAAAAAAAAAGAAAAAAGAAACTGGTAGTAGTAGTTGCCTCCATGGAGGAGAATTGGATGACTGGGGCCAAGGAAGTGAGAGAGACAGACTTTTCACTCCACATTTGTACCTTGTAAAGTGATACCTTGTGTGTGTCTTATCTATTGGTGTAAATGGCTTGTTTACATAACTGGATTGGTTAAATACATTATGATGCCTTCTATTATGGAATTCAGTGCAGCATTAAAAAGATGGGAAAGGCTGAGCGTGGTGACTCATGCTTGTAATCCCAGCACTTTGGGAGGCTGAGGCAGGATGATCGCTTGAAGCCAGGAGTTTGAGACCAGCCTGGGCAACATAGGGAGACCCCATCTCAACAGAAGAATTTACAAATTAGCTGGGTGTGGTGGTGCACACCTGTGGTCCCTGCTACTTGGGAGGATGAAGTAGGGGGATATCACGTGGGTTCAAGAGTTCAAGACTGCAATGAGCTATGATTGTGCCACTGCACTCTAGCCTGGGTAACAGAGTGATACTCTGTCTATAAAAACAAAAAAGAAAAGAAAAAGGGGAAAAACAAAAAAAAAATGAAAAGACTCAGATTCATCGATATGATAAGAAGTTAGGCAGGATGACTTGCTGATTAGTGAAAAAAGCGCTGGGTGATCCAATTTATGTGAATACACATAACAACACACAGAGAAAATTCTGCAAAGTTGCATAGGCAAATATTAAACATGGTTATATCAATGGTGCTATGGT